ACGGTCGGTCGTGCGGTGCATTGTGCATCTATTCCGGAAGAAACTTGGACGTTGTGTGGTTGTGTGTGTGTGTATGGCGAGGGGGTGGTGTGAGAACCGGGCGATTGATAAAAGTTGGCGGGGATGGGCCGTGAAGTATAGGCTCGTTTTCAGGTTGAGGTCCGAGTTGCGAAGATTGTGGTACTTTGGGAGTTTTTGTGTAGATGAGGCCCTAGGTATCGCTTCCAAAATTGCTAATTTCTCCTGGCCATGAAAAATTCATAGGAGGCATCCTTTCTCATAAACCCGGCCCCTGTTCCCAATATCTATCTCCCGGCCCCTGTTCCCAGTATCTATCTCCAGTGGGGGGGAGGGGGGGAGGGAGGGGGGTCTTAGCTCCTTTGCAGCAAATAACTCGGATCTCTTCCCTCCGTTGCGATCCCTGAGAATCAACTTATCAGTCTCGGTCTTCTCTCCTTCATCTGACCGCCAATTTCGATCTCCCATCGTGCCGTCCCTTAATCATTGCATGCGAACCCGGCCGGATGGGGTTTTAGTAATAATTGCCTTAAAGCTCGGCTTGATCTCGCAGGATGCGCTGGTTTGTGGGTTTAGGTGGAAGTGTGGAAAGCACAGTCGTGCACAATGTCGAGTTTTTTATGCGTTTTTTGCAGCAGTGCAATGCGAAAAACGCATATTGACGAAAGGTTGTCTGTGTGTCTGTGTGTGCGTTTGTCACGCACTTTCATCTCAGGACCTATAAAGCTGCGGGGCTGAAATTTCGGGAACTTAATCTACAGGCACGTACCGCCCCCAGTCCCCAAAGTGAGCGCCAAAACCCGCGTGGCACCCGCGTACGGGCCCGCCAAAGTTTTTTTGGGGTCAGTTCATAACTCGAGGATCTGAGAAGCTAGAAGGTTGAAATCTGTCCCAAAGTTTTTTCGGGGTCAGCTCATAACTCGAGGATCTGAGAAGCTAGAAGGCTGAAATCTTGGAGTAATGTTCCCGCCCAAGTGGCTATTAGTGGGCTCAAACCCAGCCCCCGGGTAAGCGTGGTACCCCCGCACGAGCCCCCTTAATGTTCCCCGCCCAAGCGGGTATTAGTGGGCTCAAACCCAGCCCCCGGGTAAGCATGGTACCTGTCCCGCGCCCAAGCGGCTATTAGTGGGCTCAAATCCAGCCCCGGGTAATCGCGGTACCCGCGTACGGACCCGATCAGTTCATAACTCGAGGATCTGAGAAGCTAGAAGGCTGAAATCTTGGGGTAACGTTCCCCGCCCACAAGTTCATAACTCGAGGATATGAGAAGCTAGAAGGCTGAAATCTTGGGGTAATGTTCCCCGCCCAAGTTCATAACTCGAGGATCTGAGAAGCTAGAAGACTGAAATCTTGGGTTAATGTTCCCCGCCCAAGCGGGTATTAGTGGGCTCAAACCCAGCCCCCGGGTAAGCATGGTACCCCCCAAGCGGGTATTAGTGGGCTCAAACCCAGCCCCCGGGTAAGCGTGGTACCCACCTACGGGCCCGCCAAAATTTTTCATTAGTGGGCTCAAACCCAGCTCCTGGGTAAGCGTGGTACCCACGTACGGGCCCTCCAAAATTTTTCTCGCGCAAATTCATAACTCGAGGTTCTGAGATGCTAGAAAGCTGAAATTTTAGG